TTTAAAAATGAAATAGTTTGTGTCATAGTTATGCATGAAATTTTAATTTTATATATTTGATTTATATTAAATTGTTATGAGTGAATGTGCGTCTCTATACATATAATTTGAAGCTCTCAATGCACTTCGCTTTCAATTTTTTTTGAATGTTGACGCTTTTGTGCTCTTTCTCCTTTTCCCATTCTATGTGATATAGTTTGAAACCCACAGTCGCATGTAGGCAGAGCGGAAGTGAGCACTTATCATTGGATTACTCTCTCACCTCAATATACGTTTGTTTCCTAATCATCTTTTCCTGTTTATTTCTTTTTAGCAAATTTGAAAGTATTGTGGTATAACCATGGCACCGTACCTGCTCCACGGGACGCTTCAGGTGACCATACATGAGGTTGATAGGATAGATTATGGATGTGGATTTAATTTTTTCCCCAAGGTACATTTACCTATGCATATTGATAGTGTATTAATGTATATGTGTGTATGTGCAAATATAACTTCTTTCATACATATATACACATAAATAAAATATTAGGGGTAACCCGTGCTTGAACGTACGATGCAACATAAATTAATCAGTAAATTTTAAAAAAAATTACTTCAATTTACTTTAATTATAGATTTTTTAGAGGAATATTATTGGTGGCCGTTGGATGAGTTTATTTAAAACTGTGAGATAAATTTATTGAAGTCTACTCTGTTTGATATTATAGATTTTTATGCGTTAATGAAACCAAAAAATTCAAAATGGGGGGCCAAAGAGAAATATTAGGTGAAAATATTAACCAAATAAAATTTATATGAAAATTTATGGATAAAATTTACTAGTTGCAGCTATGTGCAATGCACAATATTTCTATTCTTGTACTATTTTATTTTGACATTGTGGAAAATTATCATATAATTTCGAACTCAACCCATCCAGATATTATATTGGGTAACGCTATAAGGAAAGAAAAAAACCAAAGACCAAATGTTGTGGCATTTATGTGGCGAGGTTGATTCGTAAAATTTACTGAGATGTGGATCATCTAAGGCAACATTAGCATGATGTACTCTGCCTATTTGAACCGTGGTTTGAAACCAAACTTTTCCTCATGAGGATAGATAGGGCGATTCAGGCGAGATTCAATGTAGATCCAACTTTCGATTCAATCGTGGGATCTGGACGGTCTGGAGGGGACCACCACGACTCTTCTCTTCTCGAGAATCCATACATCGCTTATTAGTGTATGGACAACTATCTCTCAAACAAAGGTTTAGGTTCAACCTCAACGAAAAAATCAAATGGAGCACCTAACAATGCATCTTCATAGACCAAGTACTATGAGATCACCCTTCTAAAATATATAATGATTTCTCCACCAAAACCTAAAACAAGCTTCAATATTTTATTTTGTCAAAATTTTAAACGCTCCAAAATTTTGACATTAAGAGCAATTGCCAAATTGAAGTATTGCTTAGTTAGCACTGTCATATTACTTAATTAGCATTGCCATGTCAACGCCCCATTATTTTTATAGTCTTTAATTTTGTGGTCAGTCTAGACTTTGACAAGATTCATAAGAATGAAGCCATGTTTTGTAAATAGATAAGTAAAGTTTTGAAAGAGTTAGCAAATAGAGTGGAAATGTTTTTCAAGTCCTCTCTCCTAATTTGATTAATTTTATATGGTAGTGGAAGAGAACTAGGGGTTCAAAATTACCAAGTTGAGACAAAATTACAGGAGAGAAAAATATGATAGTACAAAGCTTTATGTACCACCATAATTGAGTTAGCAATATCTATATAATAAAATAGTTTACAATTCAAATCTTAAAAGATAAGTAAAATGATTTTTGCTATTCACGGTTGAGATCATTTTAAATTTTACTTTAAAATTAATCTAATGGCTAATACTCTAAATTTAATAGGAAAAATAGATCCCTAAGGGTGTATTTGGAGTGACTTTTTAAAAGTACTTTTAAAAATTATTTCTTATAAATATTTTTAAAAAAAAGTGTTTGTAACCGCTCCACCACTACCTCTACCACCACCACCACTACCACTGCCACTACCACTACCACCACCGCCACCACTGCTACCGCTGTCACCCCCGCTGCAGCCATCACCACCGCCATCACCAACACCACCCACCGTAGTTGCCACCATCACCATTGCCACTGTCGCCACCACAGCCACATCGTTGTCACCGCCACCACCACTACCATCGCTGCCACCACGATTATTGCCACCCATCACAACCAACACCGTCTCCTACCACCACCATTGTTGCCAACCACCTCTCACTCCCTCTACAAATCGATATTTAAATTCATTTATCTCTTCTCTAAGTTTGTAATTTGATTTTGAATATAAATACAAATATGTTTATTGTTTACCATTTTTTATTACTTTGTACCTTCTGGTACAGACAATAACTATGTCTCAATATTGTATGATGTTTGCTATTACTCCAACAAATTTAATGCACTAGGTCCTCTAATTTCATACAAGAAATATTATGGTGAATAGGTATCTTTTATTCTACGCACTATTTTTTGTTTCTAAGTCTTATACTAATCCATGCTTCATCCCTACTTTTACACATTACCTCGCTACTATACACAATTATGGACTATGGATAACTCTTTCTCGACATCTATCAACTATATTACACGTCTTAGTTTATCTAGTAATTGAGTAATGCTATAAGAGAAAAAATTTACCAGCATATCTTTTCCCTCTCTGTTGCTTCAATTATTTGTTATGCAATCACCATATCTGAAACAGTAGATTCTACGAAAATAAATTTCTTACGATTCAAAATAAAAATTTACTTGCAATCAACTATGCGACAAAAAAGATTGAAGGACTTAATTATACTATCTTTGGAAAGGAACCCCAATCGATTTTATTGAGCTGGCCATGCCGATCTTCCAGAGCTTTTGACTAGAAGCATGCACTCTTGTTTTCCACATAAACATAATTATTAGGATAAACCTTTAGAGAGACCAAGTAGGAGCTCCAAATTTGGGATTTTTTTTTTGGGTGCATTATATTCAGGGGTGTCCGAACCAGCTTACGTATATGTCTATGAAGTATGGATACTCTCAAGAAGGTTACGTATCGGTGTTGGACACCAACACTCTTGGATACTTGTTCGATACTCTTTTATCCGTGTTCATAATTAAATGATAGAATTTTAGTTTCAGACTCATGTCCGACACTTTTTTGGTGACGTGTTTTATATTCCTTTAAAACGTGTCTACTATTTGACAATAAACATATGTTAAAATGTGATTAATAAAGTTTAAAATTTTAAGAACATATAATTACCAACACTAGACATGTTAAAGTGTACTCTATATATAATAATTAAAGCGAAAGATGCATAAAAGTTTTAAAAAGAGGAATTGAGAAAATAAGAGCAATTATTTAAATTATATATTAAGTACACATTATTTACCAAAAAAATTGATTATTATTGACTATTATGATAATGTTTTAGTTTAAAAATTCACGTGTGATGGTTATACATAAGATTTACTTATAATAAAATACTAAATATTTTATGAATTGCATATCATTATCACTATATTTATAATAAATTATATATAAAATATAATATTTTGTGGCATATCCCTAACGTATTGTATTCTACTTTTTTGAGAAATATAGTGTTTGAGTGTCCTATGTGTGTACTTTTTAAGTGTACGCATATCTCGATTAATTTTCTTTTCAGTCCAATCAAAGACAAAGCATCCTAACATCTTTAGCTTTGTTGAGTAGGTTCCTGACCAACTTGAATTTAGGATAGTTCAAATCATAAGCATGTCAATCTACAATGATTTTTCATGAGAGAGCTTTACATGTTGCACATCATGAATACTAATATTTGTTTTTCAACATAAATTTAACATAAAAGATTTCAGATCGTATTGTTTTGAGGCTAATAATATTTGTAGCAGCCCAAGCATATAAATCATTTGTTATCACTCACCATGTATAATAAATAGGGTGAATCGCAAATTGTACTCCGAAAGATCTCTTAAATCTCAATTTACACCCTCAAAGATATAAATCTACATCAATATGCACCTGAAGCGAACAACTGTCAGTTTGTCGTCTAAAACTAAATAAGTAAATTACACCTAGATCCTCTTAAGTTTGTGACTTAATCACTGGACCTCCTCACCAATAGAATATTACACCTATATCTTCTGACGTTTGTGCGCGTGTAATACATAATCCCCTGTCATTAATATCGGATAATGTAACCATTAAAAAACATGATGTTGCTTTAATAAATAACTATAATTTTCATACTATATTTTATTTTGTGGGTCTGTTGTACTTTAAAATTCAAAATCAAGCTTACCATTTGAATACCCAATACAATGCAAGTATTATATAATGTTCAAGAGTACTGAAATTATATAATATTTTTTATATTCAATGCAATACATCACTTAAATAGAAATATTTGGATGCCCAATAAGGGGAACAATTTTAGTTATATTTGGAATCTCAAGAGGTGCAAGTGTAATAATTCAAAAAAGAGGGGGTCCAGGTGATTAAGTGACAAACATGAAGGGAACTAGGTGTAATTTATCCATTTAGTTTTAGATCGTAAACTAAACTGTTGTTAGCTTCAGGTGCACATTAATACAGATTTATATTTTGAGGGTACAAATTGAATTTTTTTATTTTTGAAGGTGTAAATTAAGATTCGAGAGAACTTTTAGGGTACAATCTGTGATAATCCTAACAAATATCCTTACAATTGATAATTTGTAGCAGCATTTAGCTCTTTATCAGTCCTAAAATTTGAACATTTTCAAACAATGTCCAACATTAATGTTTACTTCCTATTTTCTTGATTGCTCTTGTGGGTTTATGTTCGATTTTATTGGGTGTCGATCTTTGATGTCCTCCCTGCATTTTTTGTCCTTTCCTCTGAAAATTTGGAGATTACAAGTCCAAGAAAGATTACCAGAATGTTTTTATCTGAATTTAAAAGAATGGTGTTGGGTCGGCCTGAGGTATTCTTCTACCTTGCATCATTTACAAAATTGCGGATTACTTTGTTTCAACATGTAAAACCTCATTTTTCTAACATACTGAAAATGTTGGTTGGTTCACAGATTGCTGGTTTAGGACTGTATGCAACCCTTGATTTAGAGAAGGCACGGGTTAGGCGAACCAGAAAGATTAAAAATCAAAGTTTCAACCCTCGGTGGAATGAGTCCTTTCATGTTTATTGTGCCCACATGGTTTCTAGTATCATATTCACAGTAAAAGAAGATAATCTTGTTGGGGCAACATTAATTGGACGAGCTTATTTGCCTGTTCAGGAAGTTTTAAATGGCCAAGTAATCAAAAAATGGCTCGAAATATAATATGAAGATCATAAACCTATTCCTGTAGGCTCTAGAATGCATATCAACCTACAGTTTTTCAATATAAACCAAGATAGTAATTAGTCTCAAGGAATCAAAAGTCCTACATTTGGAGGAGTCCCTTACACATTCTTCAAGCAAAGACAAGGTTGCCAAATCACACTGTATCAAGATGCCCATGTTCCGGGTGATGAATTTCCCATGTTTCTTAGTTCAGAAGGCCCGCGTTACGAGCCCCGAAGATGTTGGGAGGACATCTTTGATGCAATCAGCAATGCCAAACATTTGATTTATATAACTGGATGGTCGATTTACACTAAAATCTCCTTGGTAAGGGATCCAACGATGCCCAAGCCAGGAGGAGAGATCATACTTGGTGAACTGTTGAAAAATAAGGCAGATAAGGGGGTGAATGTCCTTATGCTTGTTTGGGATGATAGAACTTCAGTGGAGGCACTGAAGAAGGATGGTTTAATGGCTACAGATGACAAAGAGACTGGAGATTACTTCCAAAACACAAAATTTCATTGTGTGTTGTGTCCACGTAATCCAGACGATGGAAAGAGCATATTTTAGGGACTCAAGGTTTCCACCATGTTCACTCACCATCAGAAGACGATAATTGTGGACAGTGAAATTCTGGGAGGAAGATCACAGAAGAGGAGGATTGTGAGTTTTGTAGGTGGCATTGATCTTTATGACGGGCGATATGATACTCTAGATCATCCCTTTTTTTGTACTTTGGACACCGTTCATCATGATGATTTCTATCAACCAAACTTTTTAGGCTCTTCAATCAGAAAAGGCGGTCCCAGGGAGCCCTGGCATGATATTCATTGCCGCTTAGAAGGACAGTTGCTTGGGATGTCCTATATAATTTTGAGCAAAGGTGGAAGAAACAAGTTGGAGATAAGTATATTTTTCTTGTAACTGAACTTGATAAATTCATTATTCGCCCTTTGCCTGTTACAACATCATAGGACCTCGAAACATGGAACGTTCAAATATTTCAATCAATTGATGGTGGGGCAGTTTCTGGCTTCCCAGAAAAACCTGTTGCTGCTGCTGCAGTAGGTCTTGTTAACGGGAAAGATAACATCATTGATCGAAGCATCCAGGATGCTTACATCCATGCCATTCGCCGAGCAAATAACTTTATTTACATCAAAAATCAGTATTTTGTTGGCAGCTCGTACAATTGGAAATCAGACGATATTAAGGTTGAGGACATTGGTGCATTGCATCTCATACCAAAGGAGATTTCTTTGAAAATTGTTAGCAAAATTGAAGCAGGAGAGAGGTTCACTGTCTACATTGTAATTCCAATGTGGCCAGAGGGTATACCTGTGAGCGGTTCTGTTCAAGCAATTTTAGACTGGCAAAAGAGGACAATGGAGATGATGTACACAGATATTGCTCAAGCCTTGAGTGCTAAGGGACTCACTGCAAACCTTAGGGATACTTGACTTTTTTTTTTTGCCTCGGGAATCGTGAGGGGCAAAAGATGGGAGAATACACACCTCGAGAGAAATCAGATCCTGATACTGATTATAGCAGAGCTCAGCAGGCGCGTCGCTTCATGATCTATGTTCATGCAAATATGATGATAGGTAAGTATACAAATCTCTCAAAATGTTTGCATGTGCACACTGCCATTAAGTTAATTAAGAACTAAAAAATTCTGACAAGCAAAATACTTCTTGATGGAGTTTGATAAGATCTAATACTAAGTTTTAAAATTTTGCTCTATTTTTTCTTTGTTTTTTTCTTTTGTAGTTGATGATGAATACATAATCATCGGATCAGCGAACATCAACCAAAGATCAATGGATGGTGCCAGGGACTCCGAGATTGCAATGGGAGCCTATCAACCCCATCATTTAGCAACTACAAAACCAGCCAGGGGTAGAATATTCGATTTTTGTCTGTCCTTATGGGGTGAGCATATGAGCATGGTGCCCGACATCTTTGTGCACCCGGAGAGTCTGGATTACTCAACTGATACATACATCGGCAATCTTCTTGTCCATCTCCTTCGCTACCCCGTTGAAATCTCTAGCAATGGAATGATTGGTACATTGCCAGGGATTGAATTTTTTCCAGACACCAATGCCAAAATCCTTGGCACCAGGTCAGAGGATCTTCCATCAGTCCTCACTACTTAAGGCATTGTTCTAGTTACTGTCGTAGTGGTGTTAATGCTTGTAATTCTATAAGCAACTATTAACCACTTGTTTGTGTTACCTAGTAATGAACAGTCTTGTTAGCATTTGGAGGTTTATTTTATGTATTCACATTTCCACATTTCTATGAGACCCAACCCATCTTAATGCTCTCAAATGATTATGCATGAAGAGATGATTTGGCATCTGGAGATTCTATTGATAGATAGATGGATTAAAACTCCGAAATTAGATTTGATCAGAGTAATGGATTTGTTTGAAGTGTCGTGTCACAACATGTCATGCCAAAATTTACTGAACTCAAATTGGAACCATTTGTTTGTGTGAATATTCGGGTTTGTGTCATGTTATCTGATATGGATCATCGAGAATCCGACAAGTATCGTATCCGGAATGTCATCAACAAAGAGCTAATACTTGAATTGTTCATTCATTAATTGGTGATCTTGTAGTCTGTTGAATTTGTGGAAGGGCTTTGTTGAGATAAAGTTGGTGAATTATGCATTTTGATTGATTGTTGAATTTTACTATTTTACATACATTTGTTTATCTAATGGGTTTGTGTGTCAGATTGAGGGGTGTAAGCATGAATCGATCAATTAATTGAAAAATGAATGAATTAGGTTATTAATTAGGAGTAATTTCTACAAAAGGAGTGCTTAAGACCTATTAACCCTACTCTAGGTCAACCTAGGCAGACTCCACAAGCATTTTGGGGCGATCCAACTTGCACTCTCAATTAGTATCAAAGCATCAGTACCCCGAGAAGCACTTTGTATGTATTTCTGAGAGTTTTGACCTAGTTTGTGTTTGCTTGAGGTTCTTCATGACAATGAGTTTGTTATTGATGGATACCCAATGAGAAGGTGGCTCAATATCAAGACCTCTTTTGTTTGATGGAACCAACTATGTCTATTGAAAGGCTAGAATGAGAGCATTCTTTAAGTTCATCCATGAGTATGAGTGTTGAACACCCAATGGGGATGGAAACCTCCTACCGAGACCACTGAGGCAGGCGAGATTGCAAACCTCGGGGAATGATCGAATGTTATATTCAATGTCATGTCTACAAATGAGTTCCAGAGAATCTGTACGTGTGAGACTTCTAAAGAAGTATGAGGTGAAAAGTCTTATTTGTGACACCCATATAGTTTGTGTCTGACCCAACATAGTGCTTGCCATTGTTCATTCTTCTTTGAAGCCGCAAAATGAGAGTGAGGCAATATGGATCCCTCAGTGGCATCAGGCCATGTCTAAGAATTGCCAGTCTTGCAGAAGATGCGTTTATTACCTTATCAGATATGGAGGGGTTGCAAACCTCTTCTTGACGGAAAGACCATTATTGAGGAAATTTCAGACTCACTTTTGTTATCGATTATGAGAAGACTTTTGTTCCTTTGTTCCCATTCATTCCCACTCAAATTAAAGCATCAGCCTTATGGTAGACGTCTATGGGATCAGTTCCATTGCTTTCTCTCCTCCGTGCATCCAACTCCTCAGAAATTCTGTGGAGTTCCATAGTATTGTTCTCTTGAGTTAGAGAGGAGTTTGCTGACCAGGCCCTCCTTTCTACTCTATTTCTATTTTATTCACTAGTTCTAATGTTGCCATTTCTACTTATTGTTTTTCCCAATTTATTATAGGCGATGCCAGATATTGGTTGAGCTCGGGGAATCGGAAATAGACGCATATGAAGGGGAATTCACCCTATATAAACGCCTTTTTAGAGGCTTTCCATGAGGGAACAAGTGTTGTAAAGAAGTCCAAACGTCGAAGATTGATTTCTCAATTTGAGGCACTTAGGATGAAGCAAAGTGAGACCTTCACTAAATTCTATGCACGACTTGGTGACATAGTAAATTCATCTTTCCCCGTACGAAAGAAGTATAATGATATGGTCTAGCTTTAGAAGATATTGAGATATTTACCGGAGAGATTTCAATCTAAGGTCACCACCATAAAGATAGCAACGAAACCTTATAGAGTTTGGGCGATGAGTTTGGATATCAGGAACTTACCAATGGCTTGTTGTATGTTTGTTTTTTTCTGATAAGATGCGAATGTTATTTTTTTAATTTACGGGACATAAGAAAATATTTCACTAAACACATGGTTAATGAGAATCTGGGTACGATCTGGAATGTTCATGTGGTTCACGCTGACCTCAGTGAATATAGAGCATTGGATGAGAAGTGCATCAAATTGGCAGAGCTTGCTGCCACAGCAGTTAATTTCCCCAAAACTGGAAAGAATGTCACCATGCCATTTGAACTCAAACCGAAAATGTATCCCTACTTTATGGAGAAAGAGGAATTTCAGTCATCCAAGTTAGAAATTTTGAAGCCTTTTTAGTGTTAAAAAATTTTGATTACAATTAATTTTTTTTCATTTTTTGAGTTGTAAAAGTATAAATTGAGTTTTTATGTTTAAATTTTATTATCATATTTTTTTTCATTGATAATATCACTAATCTAATTGTTTTTTCTTGTGATAGTCAATTTTAAATAAGATTTTATTGATTTAATTTTGAAAAACTTCTTTTTGTAGAAGTAACTATTACTAAAATTAATAAAAATATTCTATAAAAAATGCATACATTTGAAGAAAAAAATCTAATGTTTTTATATAAATTGGTGTCTCAATTGGAGTATTTTCTTTCATTTATAAAATATGCTTTAAAATATTTTATTTTTAAAATAAGTCTAAACGATCAATGTCAAAAAAATTATGTATTAAGAAACATCCGAAATCAAGATAAATTTTTTTAAACTATCAACATTTAATAATTTTATTTTTTAAGTTAAATCAATAATTAAAAAAAAATTTATTTGAAATTGATATGAAGAGTGAGAATAAAAATGAGAGGGAGGGGCTTTATGGAGAGAGAGAGGAGATGTGGTTAATAAAAGATAGGTGAATTATGACATGACTTTTGAGTATATCATCCGTTTTTTTTAATAAAATTTTGATTTTTTTGGTTTTTATTATTATGGGATGAATCATGGATTCAAAAAATTATTAAACTTAAATTTTTTGATTGACCTTAAATTTTAACTAAAACTTTTTTGTAGAACTTACTTAAAATTATAAAGTGGCCAACTATTTACCTAAAATTAAGGTGCTTTCCTAAAATTATTGGGCCTAAAGCCCAAACTTTTTTGCTTCCATAGTTGGGCCGGGCCGGGGATGTGGAGATAGTAATGTTGAGCATTGCTTGGATAGCAGTTGATTACCTTGCTCGGATCAAAATTAAGTGTGGCGGAGATGGAAATGCTGACCTCACTAAGCCAATCAATGCTTTTGCGACGTATGTTGCTGATCTGATAAGACGGAGACGGATAATCAAAGCTGTTTGAAGTTTTCTTCTATCGTTGCTTCAAACTTTTCTGGACACGACGTTATGGTTGCTTTTGAACTTTCTGGCCTCAAGGCCACTCTGCCATGTTCTATTAATACCCTTGCCTCTGTATGCTTGTAGTGTTTTGCCTTTTCATGCTATAAACTATGTATCTTTATTGTTATAAACATAATGTTGAAAATGTTGTACTTTTGCTTGCATTTTTAGGCTTTAATATCGTTAGCATTAACTTGTAAAACTATTTTCAATTTGTGGCAACTGGTGCTTGAATATGGGAGTATTTGAATGAGTTTCACAGTCAAATACAACACCATTGAAATCCAAAATGAGACAGCTGCTCAGTGAATGGTGTTTTGTTGGGTTCTTTCGTTCATGAAGGCATTAATGAGTGAAAGACTCACTTGTATACAAAGGGTTTTACTTGAATACATGGTTGATAATATGTCAAAAAAATAAAATTTGAAGAGAAAGTTTACTGAAGCGGATCTCATTCTATGAAAATATCCCAAATTCCCATCAGGATTAGGAGGGGACATTGCGCCACCGAAAAAAATTTGATACTGTTTATTATTTTTTTACCTGATTCACGTACCATTTTTTAGACTCATTTATTATATTTTTGGGTGAATTTTATCACTTTTTTTATAGAAAAAAACTAGTTACTTTTTGAAGTTTTTTCTCTTTTTGCTGTAGTACCAAAAAATAAAATTGTAGTACCCTAACATTTCCTTGGAAAATGATATGGATACTCTTCTTAAATCATGTTTAGGAAATGGTGTTCCCACAACCCCATCATCTTTACAATTCATTCACTCGTTGGTATAGTACCGAAAAATGATGGGTGGATACCATTTTATTACTCCATGAGTAATTTTACTGAACGTTTTTTTTTTTTTTTATAAATGGCGTTCCCAAACCCATAAAGACATTATAAAAATATAATTGATCAAACCAGTCAAGGTGTTTCTTAAGCATCTGATTTCAGATGTTTAATTTAAGAATGGTGTTTCTTATTTATTTATTTTTTTGTTTATATAATCAATTTTCATATTCTAGTGAAAGCAAATCAAGCTTGATTTTACCAAACCCGAGTTCGAACCTTAGCATCGAAAAATAAGATAAGAATCGATCCAGTGGCGAAGCTAGAAATATATTCTAGGGTGAACACATTCTAACTATAAGTTTTAATTTGTCTTCTAATAGGCAAAAATAATTTGATATATTTTTATTTTTTTTCATCATATTTAATAATTAAAGATTGATTAAACATAGATGAACCAAAAGCAAATATACAATAACTATGCAAACCAAAAAAAAAAAAATGAAAAGAGATTAATTACAACCCTTTAAAAAAATAAGGTTGATTATGTAAGATATGTGATCAAATATCATTGACAAAGTTATAACTAGTAATATCAATACCAAGTTTGAAAGTTGCGGTGTGCGACACTTTACTGATTCCTAGTGCTTTCTTTGTTTTTTTTTTTTTTGATAAATTGTGCTTTCTTTGTTTTAGTGTTTTTATGGAGAACTTGAAAATGTAGAGCTAGTTGTGTGTATATTATTGTTACACTATTCTCGATACACTTTTATTGATATACTGTTCTAACAGTGTGTAAATTCACTATCCTTTAAATATTAGGTAGTTTTCAAATGGACAAATAAAATATCCCAAATTCATTGTAGACCAAAATGACACAATTCCTCATATTTATTGTTTTCATATTAAGCCATGACAAGCTTTTAAAGGTCGGAGGTTGCACCAAGTCAGCTACCAAGCATACTCTAGCTTTGTGTATATACACTTCCTAACATGTGCTATTTAATACTTGAATTACCATAGCAATCCGTGTGTGACCACAGCTAAAACTCTTTGGAGATGTGCGATTTTGGCCATTTGGCTGGAAACAATTACAAGAACTTCTGAGACTATGTTTGGAGAAAGATATTGTTACACTGTCATTGATACACTCTTCCAATAGTGTAAAAATTCACTTTACAGTGCCAATGTGGGTTGCATATAGAGTAATCCGTCAAATGTTAGACCAAAAAAAAAGCATATAATTTAAAATGTGAAAACATCACTAAAACAAACAAGCCCACAAAAAAGATTGTAGAAACAAATTGTACTGAACTTAAAACAGTGAACAATGTCATTAAATAATAGCATTACTAAGTTTACAATGGCTCGTTACAAGATTTCTTGTTGTGACTGTCTAAGCACCCACACCGGCCACAACGAATTCGTCTAATGAGTTTCCTCTCGAATTTTGCTATTCTTTGGTCTACCAGGTTGTTTCTTAGAATATGGAGGCAAAATATTAACATCTCCCTGCGAAATTTCAACACAATATATAGTTGAGATTGGAAAAATAGGTTCAGAATATTACTTCTGGTATGTGCTCACATGATAATAGTAATCAACAAATTCAAACATATTCCGCCCCACTTTTTCGTATTGCCGACACAACATGTGAACAAGGAAACCTATTTATTTGCCACTGACAATATGAACATTTGTCATTCACAATATCAACTATCACCAAAGGATATGCCATCACTTTGTACACTTGGTTATTTGAGACTCGTATAGTCCAGGATCTCCCCTCATCAAATGCAGCTTGTAATCTCGAAGACATATTGGGGCATAAATTCTCATTCCATTGTGAGACTATTATCATCCTTCGACCAATTTGATTCATTATCTGTCCTCTAATAGTGTTAACCATACTAGTAATAGGTAAATGGCGAAGTTTCAAAATTCACGCGTTAAACGCTCTGTAGTATTAGAACACATCTCACTGTAATGCTTCCCCGTAAAATGAGCATTTGTACAATGTTCAAATGGAAGATTGGACAGGAACCTATCCACATTAGAACTACCTTCACGACGAAACTGTTCAATCTTCTCATTAAAAAACGATTGTGTTGGTGCATAAGCACACTCATGTAGCAAAATCACTATGTGTTCTCGAAATACATTGAAAAAACTAGCACAACTCAATTTATCCTGCAAATTAGTTTTCAAATGCTACAAGCAAAATGCATGATGAACATTTAGGAAAACTTTTGGCATTGCCTCTAACAGACTCAAGTTACGATCAGATACAAACGTAATAACCTAAGAGTGATCCAATATCTTAGACAGCTGTTCTAAAAACCAAACCGGTTTGATTCATTTTCCGAATCAACGACCGCAAATGCTAAAGGAAACAAACTTGAAATAAACCACATAAATATTCGTGAAAATTAAAATAAAAACATAGTGTAACTTACATTGTTGCACTGTGTTTAATCACCATTAATAATTTAACAAATATAGTGTAACATAACGATTACATTTTAACATAACCACCCAATTTATCACTCTAAAATTTGTATTAAACTTTACCTTGGTTGCCATCTTTTGCTGTTGCCGATAGAAGATTACTTCTATACATGCCTTTCAAAAATGTGCCATCCAAAAAAAGTATTAGTCGATAATAATTAAACCTTTTAATACAATCCTTAAAATAAACAAACAACCTTTTGAAACGGCTATTATCATGATTACAATCTAACACAATCTGGTTGTCCAGATTAGTACAATTTGTTGCATCCACATACCAACATAATTGTTGATACGATAATGAGTGGTCCCCCAAAAGTATACCTTTTGATTTCTCAACTTCTTCCTATGCTTTATTATAAGATATAATGACTCCATAATTAGAAAAAAAATTAGCAACTGCCCCCTGTTTGACGCAACGTGGTATGTCCACGAACACGATTAACCATCAAATCTGCAATCAATTTAGAACTCATCCTCTTGTTATCTGTCGCTCGTAGATCCACACCACAACTGTGTTCGTTGTCTAATTTTCTAATATAAAAAAAAATTAGGAGTTTTCTTCACTGTTGCATTGATATACCACCCACAACCAGAAGAATACTTAAAGAAACACTCAGCTATAACCCTTGATTTATAATTTTTTACATAATTAAATTTAAAACTAGCCTCAATCGAGTATTTGCTAAGTGCTTTCCGAAATTGTAACGCACCACCTTGAAATTTTTGTCCTATGTGTCGTATTTCATTACTCCACCCAATTGTTAGAAGAACTTTCTCATTGTGACCAGTAATACTGGGTAACAAATCTACTTTACATTCAACAATATCACATATGTTCACGTCTTGCAATGAATGATTATCACCCATCGACCCGCCCTCAACATCTTCCACAAACACCTTAACTTCAACATAATTTTTTATGAAACTACGTTTCAATTCAATCAAATTATTCAAATCCGTCTCGTCGCACAACATGCAAGTGGGGTGACCAAGTATAGAATATGACAACTGGACCGACAAATTAAACAACTCCTCCAAACTCTCGCAAACTTCACGAAAATTCGATATATTTGAATTAGCACATACTTTGAATACTGAGGTAGCATTACGGTATGTACATAACAGCAACACAACTATTAAAAGAATAGATATAATGAAATAGAAAATAAAAACATATATGCAAGTACATATACCCTTAAAACTTAAATACATTAACACATTTAAAATGCAAGTGGTTAACATACTAAAGACATGAATTCAAACCTTAATAATGTTGTTATGAAGACAACAACACTTCAGGCTTCCAATGTCTGGCCAAAACAATTTTGTGTATAGCCAGTCGAAAAAGATGACTATGGTAAAAAAAGGCAGGGTTTTGGAAAGTCAAAGACAACTTGTCTTTATTCTTCCAACGTATAGCTAGTCAAAGAAGACGACTATGGTAAAAAGGGAGGGTTTCAAAATTTAAAATTCAAACACAGTCATATATTCAAATATAAATGAAATATTAAAGTAATCCCATAAAACTAGGAGATGTTTAATGCATAAATATAATTTGAAAATAAAATCACTTTCCAAAAAAATTACGCATAAATTAAGGAGGGACACAAAGGTCAGAAGAAAATAGAAAAATTTCAAATATCGTAATTGGAAACAAATAAATATAA